ATAAAAATTTAAAATATTTCTTAATTTTTTATTTCCGGCAAGAATTACAGCCGCTAGAATGTATGTATACAAAATCATATCGTCAAGGCGAAGCGCCAAATTAAATTTTTATATTTTTATTATTTATATGTATATTATTACATTTTTCAAGTATAAAAAATTATATATGTAAAATTATAAAGGCATTAGAGATATTTAAAAAGACCATATTTTTTATAATCATCCAATGAGTTAGATTTAACTTCATTAAAACAGACGATAAATTATTAATAAATTGTAAATTTTATATCGAAAACTTACGATAAAAATTTAGCGGTTCATTGAAATTTCTTCATCGAAATTATCGGCGCGCCATCAGGAAATAGCTATAATTAACTATCTGATTGCATCGAAAAATGATCACGTTGTGGATGCGAAATCGGTTCGGAGACATCTAATCGTTGTGAATATACGGGAAGAATCGTGAGATATATGGTATGAGAGTAAAAGGATCCCAGTGCGACCTACACAGCGACTAACACAGGAAATCATCCCGGCAACTTTCTCAACTGAATTTAAAGGATAAAGCAGCATCTATCGACGGCGTGAACAAATCATACGATCTCTATCAACCAAATATATCCTGAACTGAATTAAATTATTGAATAAAAATAATTTGATCGAAACGATTTACTCGTCCGATAAAATCTGTATGATTAATCTTTAGAATCACATCTTATAAGTAAAACTTCATGTTTTTGAGCGAAGCGACTTTTTTCCAAATATAATTAGTTATTTACGTACCTTGTACTTTAAGACGACACTGAGAATAAAGGTGAATGGAAAATATTCGGAAGAGATTTGTCTTGGTCACAACGTCAGGCAGGGGGATCCATTATCTTCGTTGATTTATATTTTTTAATACGATACCATCTATCTAAAATGAACAAATTTTTGTCAATTAATAACAAATTAAGTAAGAAATTTATATAACGGATTTAACAAAAAAAAACGGATTTATATAACGGATTTAATCTTTCCATTAATTTAAATTTGAAATTAAAAGTTTTATTATTTCCTCAATCCCAAATTAGATTATTAATTTTGTATTATTAAATTATTGTGCTCTACATTATAATACAAAAATATTGTATTATTATAGTTTGCAATATAGACTAAAGATAAATCGATGAACGATAATATGATATCTAAGCGAAATTTCGATCTTTTTTATGATAAAGTAATTTCATAAAGTGATATTTTATCATTGTTCATAATTTATATACATAAGCATTAAACTTTTATTTAAATTTTTTATTTAAGATGGTGAATTGTATTTTGTAATCTAAAGTAAACGGAACAAATGGCAATTAAATTACACGTGTACACATGTACATATAAAGCATAGATGCATAAAGTTGTAAATGTGGATAGAAAAAAAATTAGTTTAACTTATTAGAACCTCGATAATTCATAAAATTATTTAAGTTACTTTTTGTAATTATTTTAATTAATTTCTAGAATATATTCAAAAGAGTAATATGAGAAACACTCTCATAATTTTGTATTGTAATATAATGAAATTTTGTAATGTAATGAAAAATTGTTGTATTAAATTGTTGCAAGTTTTTTGCATGTAAAATTGCATGTCAGATTTTCAATCGCACAGCCCATAGATCTTCATTGAAGAAAAATGACAGGATATATCTTAGGTAAGGTCTTCCCAACGAAAGGAACAATAAAGTGCACGTGGTCCGCAAGCGAAGCAACTGGGACATGGCTGTCACGATCATTATTACAGACAATAATCGTTTCAAGGGATTTCCTTAATATTAGCACCAACATCAGCACTGTTGGATATTTTCTCTTTGATATTAACTTCCAGCACACAATATTCTATGAAACGTATTAATTTAATCTTTCCATTAATTTAAATTTGAAATTAAAAGTTTTATTATTTCCTCAATCCCAAATTAGATTATTAATTTTGTATTATTAAATTATTGTGCTCTACATTATAATACAAAAATATTGTATTATTATAGTTTGCAATATAGACTAAAGATAAATCGATGAACGATAATATGATATCTAAGCGAAAACAAACAAGAATGAATGAGTTATACACATTAATATTGTGCTCTACATTATAATACAAAAATATTGTATTATTATAGTTTGCAATATAGACTAAAGATAAATCGATGAACGATAATATGATATCTAAGCGAAAACAAACAAGAATGAATGAGTTATACACATTAATATCTTCAAATGTAACCTATATAAAGCATCTAATCTTAACTAGTAAAAGTATTAAGTATCGCGTAAAGAACTAAATATACTATAATATCTTATCAAAGATTAGTAAAATTTTTTTTCCTTAAACAAAACAAATTATATTTCCTTCATAAATATATAATAAAAATAAATTATGAACTTTTACAGCATCATTGTCCTTACTATTTTATCATATAGCAGCAATTAAAAATAACAAATTTTTATATTTGTATTATAATATTGTATATATATTTAAATACGCTATTGCTTGATGATTTATGTCATCATTTGCTTAAATCGATAAGCAGATTAGAAGTCTAATGGTTTCAGTATTCGTTTGTCAAATTCATTTCTCCATTTTCTTCATTATAGTGATTGTATTGATCTAACAATAATTTTATATTGCAAAATATTAACAAGCGGTGAGGAGGATATGTAATTATTCGCGCTCAACTGTTACGATCGTCTCAAAGACCCCATTCGCGTTGACGATGTCGTAATCCATCTGAGAAAGATGCTTTGATATACGAAAAGAACTATGAGAAGAATACTATCTCAATAGCATAAGCAAAAATTTATAAAAGTGCAATAAATTTTACGAATTATTGATTTTGTCACACTTTGTAACTTCTTGATGATCCTTTTTCTTTAATTGTATATATATATATATATATATTCTCAATAGAATCTCCAAAAAAAAAAAAAAATAACAGGACAAATGAAATAGACAATCATATAATAGATACATTATTCATTGTTTCATCTATTATTCTATCCTACTAATAAAAATGGATAAATGTATAAACCTCTCAAATTTGTTGCAAAATGACATAAAATAAATTAGAAAATATCTTCCTTAAATTAACGCTCATAATACTTATATTCGCAATATTGTATAAGTATGTATATATTTAAGAATATATAAGTATATCACTTCCGAAATGTTATGATTAATACACAGAATATCACGTTACGAGATAAATAAATACCTTTGCTTGGAGCCTGGCAAGTTACGTAAAATACCGATGAAATTTACAATATTCAATATATCAATGCATAACAAAGCAATGCATGCAAAAGCGATATCGCTTCTCTTTGCATGCGATATTACTTGTGCACACAAATGCATCTATCTTTTCAAGTATTTATGTCTTCTAGTAAATTGTGCCCAATAATGTTACATGATGATTAAATAATAGATCGCGACGCGGAAGTTTAATTAAGAATACAATAGGCACTGAAGTTCAAATCGAGTATACGGTATAAAAGCGGAGGAGCGTGTAAAAGTAGGATACTTTTCCACGGTATAAGAAACGAAAGTCTTGTGTTACAACTATAACGGCGTTGTAACTTTACGATTTAAGGATCATAAATATTACCACTAAATTTATGGGATAAATCACACAGCATTGCGAAAAACGTGCATTTCAAAATATAATCTTCGCTAATAATGCAAATGATTTTACGATTAACAAGAACAGTATCATTGTTGTTAATGGGATGATCGAAGATACTGGCATTTATAGCATATGATTTATAGAATAATTTATAGATTATGTCAGTTAAACGTATTATATTTCATAACAAAAAAGATATTATTATTATA